TAGTGCTACTTTTTCCACAAGTGCTGTAAAAAGTTTCTTCCTCCTGTTATAAATGTGTAACGATGTTCCCGGCCAGTTAAGCACACACACACTATTAGCCCGAGTACAATGCTACATGTACTACTGTGCGGCTTCAGCCTCTTTGATGCGACTGTCGTACCCCGACGCTGCAACCCAAAGTGCCCCGCACAGCAGTTATTAGAAAATCTATTCGCTGATCAAGTAGCTAACACTGGGTGAGCCACTAAATTCCCATCAACGAGCTACTAACAATGCCCCCTAGGGAGCCACTACTAATTTCCTCCGAAGCCACTACTCGCGACCCGGAGTCACTACCAATTATGCTCGAGGAGGGCACGAAGTACACCTCGTGACCCGAGTTTCCTCTAACCACGCGTCGCGTATAGCTACTAACCCCAAAAAAACAGCCAAAACATACTCACTAACTTACTCTTGACCCTCGATATCAAGGGACTCCTGGTCCTGGATTTCGGTTCCGGCTTCTCTCCTCTCTCCAACTCACTCCAGCCACCCGATTGAACCCAGCCAGCCAAGACCCTCAAGCTCCTCTCCGGGCACAAGACCCTTAGAGAACAAAACCAGACGATATCACGAGCCACACAGTAAGCTTTGGTGCTGCTCCAAATATCTCAGGTAGCTTTGCCACAATCAGACAACGACAAACAAACGGGAGATGGCGAAAAATCCAACTGCTGGTTTCCAGCAACTTTTTCCTGCTCGATACCTCGGAAAATCTCTACCAACAACCCTTGATCGATCGCCTATCGTTGATCAACGATTGCTGATTGGCTGTTTATACCAAAGCATCCTCTTTTATTTATGTAATCGTCCTTTAATCTTAATTGGCATATGGGTTTTGACCGACAAGTCGAACCGGTGCCTCCACCGGTTTAATTCTCGTGTTTCAGACCGTTCCAATTTCGCATGAGTGGAGGCTCTGTCACGAGTAACATAACCGCCACCAACCAACAAGCCAAACCTCTCATGCCCGAGTCACGTCAGCGCCGCTCACCAAGCGCGCGCGTACGACCTATAGCCTGAAAGGCATTTCCTGATCGCGCTGAGCACACACACATACACGCACACATAACGCCTAGAGATTACCACAGCCATGCCTCTGGGTGTGCGTGCTCGACGCTGCGACTTCGTCGCAACTGTTCTTGAGTATTCTCTCACCTATACTCTATGCACTCTTCATAGTAATTATTGATTTTCTCTTCCTCTCTTCCATGTGTCTTTCACTGGTGCCATTCTTCTGTAGAATACATCCAAGGTATCTTATTTTGTCTACTTCTTCGAAATCTTTTTTTCCCCTCTTCAATATTCTGTTTTTCTTCTTTTTTTTTCAAACTCTAGGATTTCTGTTTTTGTATCACTTAAGATCATTTTCTTCGTTTCAATATACTTTCTAAATCTTTTGAACATTTCCTTTAATTCCTCTTCCCTGTCAGCTATTAGCACAATGTCATTTGCATACGAGAAGCACCACACTTTTTTATTTCCTATACTGCATCCTCCTACTTGCCCTTTTTTCGGCTCTTCCTCCAGATCTGCCAGGACGTTGAACAAGGTTGGGCTCAAGGGATATCTCTGTTCCACTCTTTTTTCAGTCCCAAATTTCTCTGATATTTTTTCTTCTGCTTGAATTATATTCCTTGTTCCTTTATAAATATTCATGATTCTATTTCTTCATTTTTCACTCACCTTTATCTCTACTAGTCTTTTTGTCTTTCTCCTAGTACATCCCTACTGGCCCGGTCGAAATCTTCTTTAAGATCTATAAAGCATGCAAAAACCTTTCCTTTTGGTTTGCTCAGACTTTCCTCTACTACATGATTTAGCGTGTAAATTGCTTCTATTACTCCTCTTCCTTCCCTAAATCCAAACTGACTCTTTGATAACTTCTTTTTAATTTCTTTCCTCAACAATCTCTGTAGCATACTAGCGTATATCTTACATGCCGTGCAAGTTAGTGTTGCTCCTCTGTAAATATCCGGCTAATCTTTATCTCCTTTCTTATATATTGGACAAATTACTCCAGTTCTCCATTGTTCTGGCATTTTTCCTTCTTCCTATACTTCTTTCATCAACTCCCATACGGCTGTTTCTAATTTTCTTGGCATATATTTCCAGATGTCATTTTCCAGTTTATCTTCTCCTGGTGCTTTTCTTAGATTCAGTTTGTTGATCTGTATTCTAAAATCTTCTTGACTAAATTCTTCTTGCTTTTCTGTGCTTTCACTTAAAATCCTCTCTTTTTTTCTTGATTCGTTTAGTACCATTACTCCTTCATTCTTCCCATCCAACTTTTCTATAAAATGTGATCTCCGATCCTGCATTTTTATCTTTTCATTTATTCCTTCTTTTCTTTTTCTGAATCTGTTTAAATACTTCCACACTTCTTCTTCCGATGTAGCTTTTCTCAATTTTTCCGCTTCATTTCTTTACAACCTTATCCTTTTTGCTTCGTACCAATTTCTGTATTCTCTTTTTGCTCATGAAGTATGATCTTTCCACTTTCTGTTTCCTCCATAGTGTCATTGTCTTCCGTTACTCTTTTTTGTTAGCTTTCCATTCTTTGTCCTACCATCTCCTTTCTCCCAATTTCCATATTTTTATCGGTTTTTTAACCTTAAGCACTAATTTTTTCACCTATTCGTTTATTGCACTCCACCTTTCATTTACTTCTTTTCCGTTTGTCTTCCAATCCTTGCATCTTTCTTAAAACTGATCAATCAGTTCTTGAGACCATTCTCTCGGTGCATCTCTTTCCTAATCCTTTTCCTTTTCTGCCGTTTCTATATCTTCCTCTAAGTAGGTTTCCATCAGTAGGTGATCTGACTCCGTTCTTTGTCCGATTTTTATACGTTTAATTTGATCAAAAGCCTCTTGATTTTCCATAGCATAATCAATTACAGTTTCGCCTATGCTGCCAACATGTACAAAATCTCCTTTTTCCCCTTTTTGTCCATTCACTATTCCCCATCCTTCTTCTGTAAATTCTTTAATCATCCTTTTTTCTTCCTCATTTATTGTTTCATCCTTGGATTTCTTATTTCTACTTATTTACTTTGCCAGTCTGTTTCGTTAATCCATCCTCCTTTTTTTCGTGTTCTCACGTTCTAATCTCATACTAAGAATACACTTCCAGCTTCTCGCTCTTCTATTTTCTCTTTTATAATTTTCATCGTTTCTGTTACTTTTTGACTATATACTCCAATAATTTTCCACTCCTGTTCTGCATATTTAATCTCTTGCATTATTATGTTTTCACTCCATACTTCGAATTTTTCGCTCTCTATTTTTTTTGTTAAGTCCTGTAATTATTCCTCCTTTTTCTCTCCCTTTCTTATGTACTCTTACCGCTGATACAAAATTCTATTCAAACTTTTTTGACATCTTACTTTCTAGATCCATCCATTCATCCTTTTCCAACCACTTTTTTACCGACACTTTCAGATGATTTTTACTGCAGAGCAAGAAAAAGCTCTGTGTCAATCAATTCTAGAAATGGATGGGACTGACGTCTACAGATGTAAGATAACTAGCTTTAGATCTTGCTACTAAGCTGAATGTTAACCGCACATTTACTACAAAAAAACATAATTTTTTTATCACATGAAAATGTTTGTATAACATAAAGTGTTTTTGATCAGTATCTTTGAGTTAAAATATTTTTATATTTATTTTATAGGACTTGCTGGCGAAGACTAACTCATAAGCTTTAGAAAGCAACATGAATTATCTCTTAGAAAAAGTGAGCATACATCAACAGCAAGAGCTCATGGCTTCAACGAAGAGGCTGTTGACGAGTTGTTTTCTCTTTTTGCTGGCCTTCTACAGTAGTATAGGTGTCAGCTACAAGACATCTGTAGATGAAACTGGCATATCAGTTGTTCCAAAATCAATCTCTACAGTTGTAGCCAAAAAAGGCAGGTGCCAAGTAGACGGTCTAACAGCTGCTGAAAGAGGAGAAACAATCACATCTGAGATTTGCGTTTCGGCTACTGGTGCTTTCATTCCGCCATTGTTGATTTTCCCTAGGGTTAAAGTTAACAACGATTTTTTAAGAGGAAAAGCCACCTGGAGCTTGGGCTGAATTCCACAAGAGCGGATGGATCCAGTTGGATATTTTCACTAGGTGGTTTAAAAAAATTTATGGAATTCTCTGGAGCATAAAAAAAAACCAGTTCTTTTGCCATTAGATGGTCGCAGTACTCACGTGAAAAATCTACAAGTTCTTGAACGTCCAAAAGAAAATGGTGTTGTAATGTTGTTTCCCGCCGCATTGTACACACAAACTGCAACCACTTGATGTGGGTTGTATGAAGCCTACCTGTTGTAACATTGTAATTTTTTATTGTTTGTTAACGTTCGTTTGTTTTTGTTATTAATTATTATTTAACAGTGTAAAGGCGTGTCAACATAGCGGGTATTCAATACAGCTTTGAGATCGTGTTATGGTCGGTCGCATAAGGGCTGATTGGGAGCACCTATCTTTTCTCACACGATTACTTCAGAAATCGGTAGAGTGAGAAGAGCCACGTAGTGAGAGATTTCGAATCTCTCACAGGCGTTCGGTCACAACGCGCTTTTATTCTGTGAAACGACGATCGTTTCCTTGACAACTAGTTCTTTATATTTTTTGTTTATATAATAACTTCAAGCGAGCGTGCTAGTTTTTTTTTCTAAAAAATAGTCTCTGTCAAGTCGTCGTAGAGACAACACGTATCAATAAATCAGTTTCAGAAAAACAAATGTTGCACGGTTTTTATTTCGTAAAACAAGTCGGTAACATTTTTTGGTGCGATGGCCGGGAAACAAACTTTAAGTGAATATTCCCAAAAAAAAAAAATCCTTTTCGTTCTGTCTCCGTCGCGCTTCGGAATGTGCGGAGAAATCAAAGCCCACCTGAAGGCGGACCACCAGCTCGACGGCAACGACTTTTCGAGGAGGAAAATGACAGCGTTTCCTCGGAAATGGATTTAGAAGAGTTTCCAAGGCTGAATTGGTTTTGGGAAGCACCGGGAGGCAGCGAACCACCCATCAACTTCAGAGGTTTGCAGCTGAATGGCAATGACGGACAAGTGGTGCGAGGAGCAGCAGCGGCAAATCTCCCTCCCGCTCATGATGATGATGAGGCGGAAATAGCACCAGCTCTGATCGCACCGGCTCCAGCCCTACCCCGCGGTCGAGCGCAGCATCGTCACGCTGATGAGGTTGGCGCCCCAGCGGCACCTAACCTCGAGGCGATTCCTATCGCCCCAGTCTCTTTTTCAGCCCTAGCCCACGGTCGAGCGCAGCATCGTCACGTCGATGAGGTCGACGTTCCAGCGGCACCTGACCCTGAGGCAGTTCCCGTCGCCCCGGCTCCAATTCCAGCTCCAGCTCGTAATCGAGCACCACGTCGTCGTGCCAATCAGATCAACGTGCCAGCAGCTGCTCCTGACCCGGAGGTGGTACCTGACGTACCTCCAGTAGCAGCTCATGGTCGAGCGCTGCGTTGCCGCATTGTTCCTGATGCTGGCCCCAATGCCGCGGGCGTGCCTCCAGCTGCTGCCGTAGCTCGCGCTCGAGCACCGCGTCGCTGAATTGATCCTGATGCTGGCCCCAATGCCGCGGGCGCGCCTGCAGCTGCTGCGGTAGCTCGCGCATGAGCACCGCGTCGCCGAATCGTTCCCGACGCTGATTTTGGTGCCGCGGTAACTCACGCACGAGCACCACGTCACTACGTTGATCCTGACGTTGACCTTGCGGTGGATCCGGTCGTCCCTCCAGCTGCAGGACACGCACGTTTCTTGCTTCACCGTGTCGATCCTGATGAAGCTCTTGCAGCTCGACACCACCGACATCAGCAACGACCTACACCATCACCACGTCCCGAGGTTGATCTAAATCAATCAGTATACGAAGAAGATGACCTGCTTGGCAGTGAGAGCGATTTTGACGAAACGTCAGGTAGCGAAGAGAGCTTAAATCGCGATTTTTCGAGCAGAAATTTTAATACTCAAATACATAGTACAAAAAATCAAACAGATTTAGGCGAGGTCTTTAGTAGGTTGGCAAAGGCTATTGAGAGTTCTTTGACGGCCAATCAACAAGCTAGTTTTCAGACTAATAATTCTGCATTATTGAACAGAAAAACATCTTAACCTTTGCCGACGTTTACTGGAGATCCACTTGATTAAAGCAAATTTAAGCAAGCATATGAATAGTCAACCGAAAAAAATAGCTATACAAACCAGGAGAATCTACTCAGACTTTCCGAATCGTTAAGGGGTGATGCTTGCGATGCTACCAACGCTCTTTTTGTAACCGGAAACAGTACGAATGAAATAATAAAGACGCTGGAAATGAGATTCGGAAACAATAATATGATTTTACAAAATATTTTGAACGACGTGCAAAGTTTACCGCGAATTGACGCGCAAAAAAGTAACTTAGTTGAAGTCGCGACTCGATTAAAAAATTCCGTAGAAGCTATAAAATCTTTAAAAAAACAAGGCTACTTGTTTAGTTCCGACCTGTCGAGCGAGACGATAAAAAAAATGCCTGATTCAATGATTGACCGCTACATTCGATATGCTGCTTTCGAGGGACACGGAAAACCTGATCTAAAGAAATTATCCGATTTTTTGTTCGAAGAAGCCGGGATTATTTTAGTTTCCGGTGTAAACGTGTTACCTTCCCATTCTGAAGTAAAAAGCGCATCCGAACGTGTGAATCGGAATGCTCGGAATGAACTAAGCGTATTTTTAACTAAAATTGATAAAAGCTCTGATGTTAATATTATCGAGAGTAATTTAAAATGCACAATTTGTAAACTCAAAAATCACAGCATAAGTAACTGTAAAAAATTTTTGAAATCAACTCTTGTCAATCGTTGGAAATTCGTTAAATTGCGAACATTATGTTTCAATTGCTTGCAATCAGATCACCTTAAGAAAGACTGTAAAAAAGATCTGTGCAAAAGATGTCATCAAAGACATCATGAGCTTTTGCATCGAGACCGTACAGCAACGTCAAAATCTCACGGAGAATCGTCATCAGGAAAGACGTTGTGACTAGGTAAAGAAAATTTTAAAGTGTGTTTTCAAACACAAAATTTTAATCCGCGCATCATATTAAAAATATTTAGATTAAAAATTATTGGCCCTAATGGTTCGGAAGAAATCAACGCCTTTGTTGATGACGGTTCTGCCGCAACGCTAATTAATTCCGAAATAGTAAAAAAAATAGGAGCTAAATATACAAAATTAAGTATGTCTTTAAAAAACCTCGCTGGAATTACGTTCGTCAGTAAAAAGGTAGATTTAGCGGTGAGGAGTGAAAGCGCAGTTTTCAACATAAAAAACGTTTTAGTAGTTGATGATCTTCTCTTGTCGTCGCAAAGTATAGATAAAAATATCGTTTACATGTGCGAAAGAATTACTGGAATCCGAGTAAACACCTTAAATGCGCCTCCAAAGATGTTCATAGGACAAGATCACATCGACCTTATTATGACGCATAAATTCAGGGAGATTAAAAAAGATTCTTTAAATAAAGAATCTTTAAATAAAGACAAATGTCAGTCGTTGTTTATTGGGATGGACAATACATGGCTATTTTGATGAACAATTTGAAGATGAAGCACACATTAGTATTATCGAACGAAAATCCGAAAAAAATTCGAGTGATGAAAATTGTTTGATTGAACTCGATAAATTAATTCGGTTTTATTTCAATATAGAATCACTCGGAATTAAGGACAATAGATCTGGTAGTATTGAAAACGACAGAGCTCTCGAAATATTAGAAAAAAACAAGTCGTTATGTAAATGGCTCTTGGGAAGTCGGGCTTTTGTGGAAATCAGACAACAAATGTTTTCCTAGCGGTCGGGGTACTACACTTCGCAGACTTACGTATCTGGAAAAGAAATTTGATCGCGACCCTGTTTATGCTCAGCTATATGAAAAAGAAATGACGCGTTTATTTGAAAACAGTTTTGCGATTAAAGTAGAAAAAGCAACTCCAAAAGAAAAAATCATTCGCTACTAACCTCATTTCGGCGTACAAAACGTAAATAAGCCAGGAAGAGTTAGATTGGTTTTTGATGCCGCAGCAAAAGTAGATTCGAAAAGTTTTAATGATTTGCTGTTAGCTGGACCTGACTTTTTACGTCCTCTTCCTGGTGTAATAATGTGTTTCCGTCAATTTACCTATGCCATAAAATCTGATATGCGTGATATGTTTCTAAAAATAAAGATTCGGGACGAGGATCGTGACGCGCAACGTTTTCTTTGGCGGGGAGGAAATCGGGATACTCCTCCTCAAGAATTTTTAATGAGTTCGATGTTGTTTGGCGCAAAATCATCCCCTTGTACCGTATTATTTATCAAAGACAAAAACGCCGATTTATTTTCATCAAAGTATCCGAAGAGCGTAAAAAGTTTAAAAAACAATTGTTATATGGACAATTTCTTAGATAGCTGTGAATCGCGCCTTGAAGCTTTAGATCGCGTTTGTCAAGTGTCAGAAATTAATAAACACGCTAATTGGGAGATGCACAGCTGGTCAAGTAACGATTTATCGATTTTCTATGGCAAAGATAAAAATAATTCATTTATACGGTCATTAAATTCAATTGAGGTTAACGAAGAGAAAATTTTAGGATTACAATGGGACAATCATTTCGATAAACTTGGATTTAATACGAATTTCAAAAAAATAAATAATGAATTATTTACCGGAAATAAGATACCTACAAAAACTGAATTTTTAGCGATTATCATGTCGATTTTCGATCCTCTTGGATTTTTAGCTCCTTACACTATTCACTCAAGAATTTTAATTTAGGAAGTTTGGAAATCGAAAGTTGCTTGGGAAAAAGAAATAAAAGAAAAGGAATTTTTAAAATGGAAGGAATGGATTAAAGATTTAGAGCTCGTAAAGTCATGCAAGATCGATACATGTTACCAGTTACGCGAATTTCAATTACGTGAAGCCGAATTACACGTTTTTTGTGACGCTAGTTCGAAAGCATACGCAGCCGTAGCTTACTGGCGTTTCTTTTTAAGCAATGATAAATTCCATACTTCATTTGTAGCTACAAAAAGTAGAGTAACACCCACAAAAGGATCAACAATTCCGCGACTCGAGCTTCAAGCCGCGCTTTTGGCTACTCGCCTTGCATCTATGATAATTAAAGAACACAACTTTAAAGTAAATAAATGTGTTTATTGGTCAGATTCAGTTACGGTTTTATGTTGGATAAAAAAAGATCCAAAGCTATTTAAAGTTTTTGTAGCAAATCGACTTGATGAAATTCGAAAAAATTCCAAGGGGTGTGAATGGCGATGGGTACCGACAAAGGAGAATCCGGCTGATGACGTCACGTGTTTCACTCCTGGAGCGTTAAAAGAACAAAGCCGATGGTTTCTTGGACCGTCGTTTTTAAGGGAAACAAAATCGAACTGGCCAAATCAAACTTTCGTGCGATTAAATCAAAATTTAGAATGCAAAGAAGAATTTCAAAAAGAGATTTATTTAAATATCGTAAAAGAAAATTTAATAGATTTTACGCGATTTTCATAATTCATTCGTTTAGTTTTTTTCGTTCTGCGAGTACTGTCAGTTGTTAATAAAATGAAAAAGAAAAAAATCTCGTTGACCGATCTGCGAATAAAAGCAGAAGAGCTATGTGTTAAAATGTTGCAACAAACTTCTTTCTTTAATGAAATAACGGCATTAAACAAGAAAGAACAAATTTCAAAAGATAGCAAGCTTTTAGGTCTAGATCCATTTTTAGACGAAAAAGGAATAATGCGGATTAGTGGACGTCTAGCAAATGTCGAGGAAAGCAGTGATAAATTGAAGTATGAACTGATCGTTTTAAATAGCAAAGAGAATTTCACAAAGTTATTAATAAAACATTAACAGGTGAACGAGTCACACTGAAAAAAGTTTTTTATCTTTTTGGTAAAGCTTTCTTAAAAGCTGCCAAAGCTGAGACAGCTGTTAACGCATTCAGAAAAACTTGAATCTGTCCATACAACCCTGACATGTTTTTATCAGAGTTTAAAAACTTACACGGGAATTGATCTTCTGTTAGTTCACATGCAAGCTCCAATTCTAGCATTCTTGGTGTGAATAAATAATCACAGGTCGGCAAAAAAAATAGTTTGAGTTGTTATGAGAAAGTGAAGGGTAATTTCCGAAGTAATTTTTTGTGATTTTGGCTATATTTGAGGTTATGTTGCATCACAATACTCTTTCTTCTCAAAAATCGACCGACGACACTGTAACGTAGAAGTCTTGTTCTTTAAAATGCCGTTGAGTTTTCTCAGATAGGTTATTTCTGCATTGAGATATTCCATTTTGAAGTTTTTGAGTTTCATCTTTTTCGTTACTTTTGAAATGTACATGACTCTGCAGTTTTTGATGTTGAAATTGGATACTCATGTTGATTTTTTAGATCCTACATTTGTATTAATTCTTTTTTTATCAATAGGTTCTTTAAAACAAAAAATTAATATGCATTAAGTATCAGCCACCAAAACCACCTTAAGTATCTTAGCGGGGGTGAAAAACTCTAAAAACGGTCTAAAA